CTCTAATAATTCACGCATAATTCTATAAAGTCAAATCAGACTATTAGATAAGAATTTGTTTAATATGCAAACAAGTATTGATGAATTGTTTTTGTTGTTAAAAATTTTTCCATATCACTCATATCATAGATTAGTCAAACAGCCTTTTTGTTTTAAATGAATACCTTTATTTAAATATTGAACTTAATGTGTCTATAATCTAGTGGGCTTTGAAAAGGGAAAATCACAAATGGGATTTTTCCTGTTATCTTCTCAAAGTGGTTAATCAAGAAAAACAAGGCGTTAGGCGTATTTCTGCACTTTTTCACCATAGTGAAGTACAACCATTGATTCACCAGTAACGATCATATATGCGTTATTAGACCCACCAGAAAATCTCCTGACTTGTAAGCAACTATAGGCTGAGCGCTGTAATGAATCAACAACAGATAGCCTGAAGAAGTATCAGCTGTGTGTGATGTTTGTATGTAAAGCAGTGACATTTATTCACTTTACTTCCTTCTTAAACATCATCGCAGTTTCATGTCGTGTAGCTTAAATAATCAGGTCAAACTTTTCTTTTTCCATTTGACCCCCTCAACCACCGATGAAGAAGAGGAAGATCGGTATCAGGGTTTTTAGGCAAGAGACTATACATTGTACAATCCATTAATTGAACTGCTTTGACAACATTTGGCCACTAGATGTCACTGTTGAACACAAGCATGTCACACTAAATAATAGATAAGAAGTGTTTGTTGTCTCAGATTCAGTGAATAATTGAATGAATGGATGCAAATTGATAAATTAGGTTTTTAGGGAACATTTTCAACACAAGATGAACAGTGTACACATTCAGGCAGACAATAACATGACCAATGAATGAAACCTCCAACACCATCCACCTTGTGACTGAGGTGGTGGACTTTCTTATCCAGGTCATGGGCCCTTTGCTGCAGCTCGTCTAAGGTTTTGTTCTGAACAGCCACAGCACGGAGGAACTTGTCTCTACTGTCATTCAGCAGGACTTCAGTGCGATTGCGGGTTTCTTTGGACTGTCCCACAGGACTGAGAGGACCGGACACTGTCAAGTTGCATTTCTCCTCAGCCTCCAGTGACAACCGGTAGTTCTTCTTCACTTTCTCAAACTGATCTGTGAGGCAACGGGAGCAGCTTTTAAAAGTTTAGGACTTTTCAGTCTACTTTTTGTTTTGCAGTCATTTTGTATCACACATATTGTATTGATTAATGTCTGCTTATGCTGTGTTTACAGATCTGAAAAACTTCACTTACCTGCAAAACCTGAGGTGAGGTAATCAACCAGCAGCTGCTGCTTGTGAGCCACAGTGGTGTTGATGTCCCTCAGCTCTCTCTCTAGGCCACTCAGTATGCGTCTCAGTGCCTCTTCTTCTTCTGCTGTTGTATTTAGTTCTCTGGCGACACCCATCAGACGTCCGTCAGTCAGGGCGATCTCAGCCCTGGAACACACAGAGCAGCGTATTTAAGAGAATATAGTGACAAATGATCCAAGCCAACCTCAATAAACATGTGGCATCATCACCTGAGGTCATCGATGCTCTGTCCAATCAGCTGGTGGATCCTGTCGCTGTCCTCCGCGCTGATCAGATCCTGAACCTGTTTCAGCTTTTTCTCCAGCTCTTTGATGCGTGTGTCCCCGTCTCCCGTTGGAACACCACTCTCCAGGATCTTCTGCACGGTGTACTGGATGTGATCCAGGTCCCTTTTAATCTGGCACACTGCATCGTCCCACAGCTGGAAGCACGGGTGACACTGGACACACTTGGGGAAGACGCCGGTGAAGCCGCGAGCGCATTCATCACAGCGCTTCCCCGCCGCTCCCTCCCTGCATTCGCAAGCCCCCGTTTCTCGGTCACACTGGACCATCTCTGAGCCCAGTGGATGGCAGTTACACTCTGAATGGGAGGAGGGAGGAGGGGAGAGAAGACACAGGAGGGAAGGTAAAGGAGAAGAAGACAATAGAAAAAAACAATAACAATGGTCTGGAACACGTCTACAGACTGTAAGAAGAGAATCTACTTGTGTCTTAAAGAAGCAGTTAGAAGGGCTTTCACCAAATCACAGTGTAACACAGCAACATAGTCCAGTCACACCATGGGAATCTGCACCCAATTCACTTTAACTAGGAGGTTGAAAAATTCGGAATTCAGGATAAATCCTGAGAAATCACATCTGTAGTTGCTTATTTCTTACATATCTGCGGAATGGCTTTCTACAGTGATGTTTGAGGTGGCTATTATGTTTGGTTGTATGTTTAGTCAAGGCACACCATTACTTTAATGACTACGGGTTCATGCATGTGCAGCAAATTCAGTTCACTTCGCCATAGGAAGGTGAAAAGTAATTTGTGTAGCCACCCTGTGGTTCAGATCTGAATGGGTTTTTCCTTTGGCCAATGCTACACTTTTAGTTTTTTTTCTGTAATCCTGCTGACAGACAAACACACACGTAAACTGAGACACCAGACTGTCTGTTTGATAAGCACAGCATGGATTACATCAGATGTCATATATGATCATTTTTCAGATGTCCTTATCACATGCGTCTAAAGGAAAACACACTGCTTTTTCAGTCAACCCAGCTGTCTGCACAAGGCACATAATGACTCACATTTTTAAGTTTCAAGTCTATTTTCTTTCATTTTGCGTGTGCCACAACCAGGATTGTGTGTTGGGTTCGGGGTGCTGCCAAAACGCAGGTGACCTACACTTAATACTGTGCCTCAGAGCACCTGTGTAGATGCAGACAAAGGACTCCTGTGTACACACGGAAGCCAATGTGTTCTGTCCCTTTTAAAGGATAGTGATTGGATGATGACTCGTAACGTAAGGTAAAGAATCCCCACTCCTACTCACAATTGACATATATTCTATTTGTCACAAGGGGAGTTACCTTGACACTGCACCTGTGGGTCTCCCCAGTGGAACTGCTCGCACTCAGTGCACTGTCTTCCTCCGAAGCCTGAATGACAGTGGCACTGGCCCGTGAACTATAGAACACAGAGAGACAGATTGACAAAGATAGAAAGACAGACTCTTATAAACACAATCTTACAATCATATAAACTTTTTGTCCAAGGTCACTGTTGCATTATCCATTCAGGCTCCATGGTTCCTCACCATGTTGCAGTGAGTTCCCATGGTGTGTTGGGGGTCGCAGTGGCAGGGCTCACAGCCTCGGTCCTGACCATAGTTCCAGTGGTTAGGAGCACACTGGTCACAGTTGTGGCCAGCCACGTTCTCCCTGCAGGGGCAGGCTCCGGTCTGCCTGTCGCAGTGACACTGTCCATCACTGCAAGCGGACTGGAGGGTGCCAGCAGTCACACAGGTACAGCCTGAGAAGAGAGACCTTTATTAAGTGTACAGAGAGAAGACATGTGGTTCGACACATTACTATTAAAATATGAAAATAATAAAAAATGTATCTTTAAACTTCAAAGCTTAGGAACAAGTTAGTGGTAAACCATAGCGTACAGTTGCTCATATTTAAGGCAACTTACAAGGAATAAAATATATGTAATAATATGTAAAGATTTGAGCTTTGTAACTGGTTCAGACCTAAAAAAAAAAGATGTACTAATATCTGTTGTCATCACTCACGTCTGCAGTCATGGGCCAAAGCGTTTCCGTAGTAACCGTGTTGACAGTGGGCACAGGACGGGCCATCAGTATAGTACAGGCACTTGAGGCATTGGCCGGTCCTGGGGTCACATGACTCAGGATCCTGGGCGTTGATGTTGCCGCTGCACTCGCATGGCAGGCACTGCCCTCCGGGTTGTTCTGGGTTCCCATAGTAACCAGGGGCACACCGGTCACAGCGGGGCCCTGGGGGAGAAAAGGGAGAATATGACAGTAAGCTTTAAAACTTGCTTTCAAGACTTAGTTAGGAGTTAGGTATTGAATATTTAATTCATGCAGAATCAGCCAGTCTCTATGATTTTGTACTATAGTCCAATCGACCTTGAAGAGTAAAAAATGATCAATAAATATCAGTAGAACTGTGTCACTGCAGTGTGATAGCTCACCAGTGTAGCCTTCTCTGCAGTTACAGATGATCTGGTTAGAGGAGAGGTCGGCTTGACAGGAGTGGCCGTTAAAGTGATCCGAGTCGGGGTTACCGGGGCAGGGGCAGGGCCGGCAGTGCTCCCCTAAACCAAGCACCGGGTTTCCAAAGAACCCATCCACACAACTGGGACAAATGAGGGAGACATTAACCCTCAGTCTGACAACCAGGGACAAAGTACATACCGACACAGAGTGATCCTTACTGGTCGCAGTAGTGTCCTGCTGTGTAGTCCCTGCAGTCTCTACACTCCCCGGTGCGGGGGTCACAGATGTCTGCGTGGCCATTACACTGACAGGGGCTGCAGTTGGGGAAGCCCCACTGGCCCAGTTGGCAGTCTGAACACTGGCGCCCGGTGGATCCCTGCCTGCACTGGCACTGGCCTGTAACTGGGTCACACTGGTGGCTCACTGAGCCCTCTGAGTGGCAGTCACAGGCTGGGTGGGAGGAGGTATTTAAAGGGTTATTCAGTCTAATTCTATTGGTTCTAACTGGTATCAGGAACAAAACATACACTGAATGGAATGTAGTGATTTTTTCTTTATGTGTTCAAGTCTTTTTCATCATCTCCGCCCAGAACATCATTGGTACTCTTCTACCCAGAATGAGTGATATCACTACTTAATATACATGTACTTAATTAATCCTCACATTAATACCTTACATTAGGCTTCCTGTTAAATTTACAGTAGCCTACTCATCTGTAGGTTTTCAGATAATACAACTACCCACTACAGAGCTTGAACAAGTGTACTAGTTAGACATGTGACCCATCTTAGTGGGAGGTGATAATACCACTCAGCTATTTATTTGAAGGCACACATGGTGTGTGCTACATTAAAATAATTACGTAATCAGTTAACATCTTTTGAGACATCAACAAAAATTGTAATTATCTTTGGTTTGACCTTGTGGGACAGATGGTGTTGGGTTAAGGTCATGTGACAGACTCAGAACAGACTCACCTGTACAGCCATTCACTCCAAAGCCGTAGGTTCCTGGAGCACACTGGTCACAGCGTCGACCCATCACGTTGGATTTACAGTGACACTGACCTCCCACCCTATCACACTCACCACTGAGGGAGCCCTGAGGGTCGCACTGACACGCTGGATACAATAGATACAGGTAAAAGACAGCAAAGAAAACATCAGACAGTTATTGCTGTTTAAAAAGTTCTAAATCTTTGCTCGTTTTGTGCGTTGATTTTGTGTACTTACACAGAGCACCATCATGAATGATGGAAGAAATACTGCAGATGAGTTTGGAGCACATCTCAGCTAGGGCGGGCATCGGTGTCATCATAAAGGAATCCAGACACATGTAGCGAATCATCTCCTCCCGCCGCTGCTCTGCCTCTGGCTCATTACCTTGGAAACCAGGAAGCTCGGTGTATTTGGGGATCAGAACCAGCTATTGAAGCGAAAAAAACAATGGTTAAAAAAAGTAAAGGGTTATTTTTTTTGTTACAGGATTCTGAGCCATGGAGGCAATATTAATCGCAAGAGGTTGATAGGTCATTGTAGTAAAGCCAACTTTCTGATTACAGAACACACATAAAAGTCCAGACATTTGTCAAAGTTTTTTCATCTGATTCAGGTTAAATGTTTTTAAAGGTGCTTTAAAGAAATGTTTATCAACATTTAAAAGCCTAGTCCATGCCGAGATAAATTCAACATTTGCATTTGTAATTTCCCACCACTAGAGGGAAACCTTGTGGTATGATCACTTTCCCTGAAATCAGTTGATCATTATTCAGTGTTGTTGCTTTTTAGCTCTTTTAATCATAGTCTAAGAATACTGCTACCTTTCAAACATGGTTCACTTGGTTCAACCATATTTGGAGATAGATAATGAGGGTCACAAGTCTTAGCTCACCGAGTCAATAAGAATGAAGGCTGTAAGATGTCGGTGCAAGACACCATGGCGCTGGAACCTGATTGCAACCACGTATCGATTACTGGGTTCAAAACAGAATGGCCTGGGCATCTGGATGTATCTGGAAAAACATAATACATACAAAAACGCTTCAATCAATAAACACATTCATGTTTATTAATTCATAGCACATACTTTGACACTAATCTTCTCTATTTTCTCACTGCTTCTGTTCTTCCTCTCTCTTTTCCTGTTTCTTTCCACTGATGGGCTTTACACCTAGGAGGCAATGTCCGCTCACCATTACCTAGATTTCTTGGCCTTGTGTGTACATGGCTTGCAACGACCACATTTGTCAATTACTGACCAATCAGCAGTGGCTACAGCATATTGATAGACCAATATCAGAACTGCACAAAGCTGAGTTGCTGGTAGTTTTCTCCTGCTATTAAAAACTGAATGACTGTTCCACAAACACAATAAGAAATGGAAAAAGGTCAACAAACAAACAAATGAAAAAGTTCCAAAGAGGAAATGGATGATTCCAACCCTTTTTGCAAAGAACTTGTTATGACAGCATATACAGTTTTAGTACTCTGAAATAATATAATAATCTGTAATATTGCAGTTTATGTAGTTAGATATGGTTTATGTGATCAATATGTTTTACTTTTTACTGAATTAGATTTTTTATAATTATGCTTGTTTGATTATTATGTATATACTTAATGCATTTTGGGTATATTTTGAAAAAGCTGAACAAATACACAAACACAATATGAAAGGCAGACAGAGTACATGTACATTTCAACTCGGTTTGCATTGACTATGACATTTCTGTGGCAGGTTATTTCCCACTTCTATGCCTGACTTGTTGTCTATTTCTACAGTAACCACTGTTCTCCAGGGGCGACTCCATCCAGTGACTCTCTACCTGCCTTTAGAGTCTGTGTTTTGGGCTCACGTTGCTAATTGGTTTTGGCTGATGGACCAACCTCTGAAGAGAGCGGAAGGCTGAGACAGCCAGATCCGGGCAGGGCCTGACCTCTTAGTTCCAGATGAGTTCAGACTCTGAAAGGCTATTCAGCTGGTTGAAACTAAACAGTCTTGGTGTTAGTCTTTCTCTGTTTTTATGTCCCATATCCTATTTTTGCTTCTTTGATTTCTCTACAGGGATAATTAACACTTAATCTAGTCTGATCTGCAGTAATCTGTCTAATGTGTTGACTTTGGCAACATGAGAACAGTCAAATGTGAAATGAATGAAAAATGAAAAACTAAAATGTATGATGCAAGAAATATGATGAATTGTGAAGTATTTGATCTTTTTTTATATAGATTATGTCATACCACATCATTGTAGTGTGTTAAATCTCCTGTGTTTCAGGTTATAGTGTGCAATAACAAAATTATTTTCTTTAGTTGAGGACCACCTACCTCATGCACATAAAGAAACCTGCACGTAAAATATTTATTTCAGCATCCTTTGTACTCTGCACCATTGCGCTATTGTCTACAGGCTACAGATGTTATTCTTTTTGTTTCTGTATATATATGTATAACTGTATATAGTAGTCTATTTATGCTTAGTCTATGTTTGTACATTGAGAGCAATGTAAAACCAGAGTCAGATTCGGTGTGGTGAGCAAGCAATCTCACCACCCTAGCCAGTTAATCTTAGATGATCAGTTATTCTGATTTGCAATCCACGGCCTGGGAAGCCCTGGTCTCTGAAGCTGCACTCAGGCAAAGCAGTGCTCTAAACTAAATACTAAAGTCTGCATGTTATTGCGAGCATACATAGTGATATATATATATATATGTTCTACGGTGGACAGTCAAATTACACATATCATATTCTTTTTATTTTTAAGTAAGTTAGTTTAGTAGTTATTTTTTTGGCCTTTTATTGCCTTTATTCAATAGTCACAGCTCAAGATAGACAGGAAAGGGGGACAGAGAGAGGGGATGACACGCAGCAAAGGGCTGCAGGTCGGATTCGAACCCTGGGCCGCTGCAGCAACTCTGTACATGGGTCGCCAGCTGTACTGACTGAGCCAACCGGGTGCCCACGTATCATATTCTTGAATCTTCTGTAAAATCTCACAATCACAGGTCAGATTGATGGCAGGCTACCATCTCAATTATCTTTAACCTTTGAAGGTAAAGCCAGGAAAAACTCAGTGAACTTGGACCAGGTGAATATGGTGGGATACAACCAGACTGTACCATCCTCTGCTCGGCCCCAACGGGTCTTTAGATTTAATCTAAACTAGAGCACAACAAAGCTGCAGCCTTCCTTTCATATCACTGTACCTGATCCTTACACAGGATCTCTGGTATGTTTGCCCTCCTATCACTGAATGAATAGTAAAAATACTGCAGGGATCAGTGAAATAAGAATACAAATACAAGCCTGACTTATACAAAGCATACAAGCCAAGGCAGGTTTAAGTGATAACAATGCAATGGTGCAATTTTTCCTTTCCCCTATAAAACCATATCAACACCTGGCACACTTGAATAAACTTCAACAAACATGGACACATTGGCCTCTTTCACACACACACACATACACATACACATGCATTTACATATATATAAGTTTTGGTACCTGTTGCGGTGCGGCAGGGTCACTGTGTAGAGCTGTTCAGTTGGAAGGAGGTTTCCACACCGGAGACTGGACGGCAGCATTACAGATGTAATACTGACCACAGCCTCCCAGTCCTCTGTGGACTACACACATACACACATACACACACACACACACACACACACACACACACACACACACACACACACACACACACACACACACACACGCACACACACACGCACACACAGAAGGCTTAGTTCAAAAGACCTTCAGTTAGCTCTTCAATCTTTTAGGTCATGGTCACACACCTCAGGTTCGTAACGGATCATGATGTCATACTCCATGGCGTAGGGAATGTTGTCGATAGTGAACACCAGGCCGGCACCATCTTTGACGCGGGCAAAACCAGGTCCGGTCCACGACACCATGTGGCTGGGAGTGTGCTCTCTATGAACTGTCCTCACATCGGGCTGAGAGACAGATTACCAAAGAAGAAAAATAATTTTCTTTTTGAACTATTAAAACTTCTACTTCATACCATACTTAAACAATTTCTGTTTCCCTTTACTTTCCACTTTCTTCAGGTATGTGTGCTCTGTATTGGAGGCCTCTGGAATGCAAATTGCTAATTATGCACAAACTTCCTACAGTTATTGTGTTCACGTTGTGCAGTTTTTCAGTTATTATTGTTATGCATTAAAAATAATATGAACTAGCCATAAAATATGTAAGGGGTTGTCAGTTTAGTCTATGATAGAAAAGGGACCCCTTAAGGAAGAAGTTGGGGACCACTGATTTAGGAGAAGATGGGCCTAAACAGGTCAATCTCCGCACCTTCAAAAGTAACAGCTTCACAGCTGCCTCGACATCAGAACAGTTTCTTCATCACTGGCATTATTTCCAAAACCAGGCAATGAAAATTGTAAATAATTATACTTTTCCTTTTAAGAATGTGGCACAGAAATTCTTTTGAATTTTTATCCTTAGTCATAATGTCACACCAACGCGATTACAGTTATGGTCTCCATTAGGATTCACATCCTTTGGGTCTCTGGACTATTATCCCTACACTGCTACATATTCACAGGTCTTTTTTTTCAGCTTGACTAGTTTGAAATGACTGAATTAACTTGACAGCCAAGCATTTAATTAGGTTAAGCAGCTTCAAACAAGTGGTGCATACAGCACATGACCACAAACCTGTAAACATTTGAAATATTGGGTTATTTCACCTCGTCAGGCCCCAAACTGTCCTTATAATGAGACAAATCCAAAACTGAAAACCATGTTACACAAAGGCCATAACCTGTGATGAGGCATATTTTAGGGATCACAAGCCAAAAATGTTGGGAACCACTTATGTTTCTTGTCCAGTGGCCGGCTGAGTTTACTATTTTGCCTGCAAATAAGACATAAGTGAGAACACTTATTTCCAAAACAGTGGAACTGTACTGGAACTGGAAGTGTTCTCACTCCACTAAATGAAATTAGTGAATCAATTGAAGCAAATATCCTACTGTTTGTTGAAGCTGACGGATACGTCTCAGTGCTGCCCGATGTTGCTGCGAATTGGTAATGCGACGGTGACGCCGATGCCTCCTCAGCTGGTTGCTCAGGTGCTGGACACAGTCAGTCTCTGCCTGTGGACGAACTTTGCCCTGAGAGGAGAGAGGAGGAGGAGGAGGAGGAGGAGGAGAGGATTCTTGCTTGTGTTCGATCACACATAGAACGTTTTATAGCAACCCTTCCCACAACCTACAAGGGTTCATCCTGCACAGCTTTCTCTTTCCAAAAGTGAAGATGACAAAACAGAGTGGAAAAAGCCGTGCTGTGCTAAAACTGCCGAAGCGTGACAGAAAGAATCAAAGAATGTGAAGCTGAGAGTGTGTTTTTCTCTGTGTGTGTTGTACATGTTAGTAAGTGTGTGTACTGCGCGGCAATAATTAGTTGTGACAGGCTGGTATCTGTGCTACTGTCTGGTGTTTTTATGGGTCACTTCAGCTGTGGAGTTTGGATTCTGCACCGAAATGCAGGACTTTGTATCCTGCATATACATGCATGTACACTCAATTTCCATCCCTAAAAACAATAGCGTCCTTTGTCAAAGACACACCTCCTCTGGCTTGGTGTCTTGCACTGTTGCCTTTTTTACTCAAAACATCCTGAAGTCAATACTTGCCTTTTTTTCCACATTCCTGGAGCAGTGATGTTGCAAGCACGGGGTGTCTGAGCTTGCCCGAAGGGCTGAATGGGGAGGTGGAGGGGGCAAGGGGTCTCCTTAGTGTGGAGAGGACAGGAGGGCCGCGAAGGAGACAGACTGAGACAGTCAAGAATGTAAAGAGGGCGACAGACAGAGATGAAGGATAGACAAGTAGATGTAGAGTAGAGAGGAGACTGATAGGTGGGTAAGATGACAGCAGGAACAGGTCTGTCTCCTTGTTGTAACAGGTTGGATGGGGGGGGCTTAAAGGGAATATTAATAGAATTTAAGGTGGGTTTTAAGTAAATAACCTTCACTGGTTTAACAGGTAAGACATTTTTTGAGCATTATTTTGTATATACCTGTTAACTGTTAGAAAATGTTGTGTGATACGATTCGAAATAAGTGAGAGAAACATGGGCTCATTTCTGAGAGTGGTAAATATCTTAGGGAGGCAAGGGGAAAAGACGTTATATAAGGTTCTTCATTCAGTACAGCTGTAAAATTAAAACGAATGGGGCTCACCCGCATCCGGCACTGTTCATTTCAGACTCAGTGTATGGGTCATATGGCAATGATCAGTTCGAATAGGCCATCATTTAAAAACTGTCTAGATTTATTAATGAAAACAACATCACATGAGACAATGTTAGCGGACAGAAGCAAGAAACATGAGAATTATAAAGGAATATGGAATACATCTGAAGGGAATTAATTGAATCGATCTGTAAAGTTAATTCAATGATGTTTGTGTTAGCCTTTGGGTTAAATGTATAAAATGATAGATGTGGACAAAGTAATTGCAGTGTGGGTTAATGAATTGTAATCCAGATACATCAGCGTGTCCATAATGGAAACATTTAAAATATTATATAATATAAGAGAACAAAAGGAAAGAGCCTTCGTAGCTGAATGGTTACACCCAGTGTAACTTTATAACCACATAACCGCAAACTCCAGAGTTCGATTATGGCCTGGGAACTGTGTTGCATGTCATACCCCCTCTCTCATGCTATATGATTGTGATTTGTGATCACGGTTTTATATTTAAACTAAAACAACAAAAACAGCAATGCTTTAGTTGCCTGTTTTAGTGGTAGCTATAGGTACAGCATAGGGACGAGGGATGATAATGAAACTTATCTTCATCGCTACTGCAGCTAAAGTCAGCCAAACAAGCCCACCCTTTCAAATCCCCACACAAAGACAACCTTGATGGAGTCAGAATAACATGAAATCTCCTTCTGTTACAGTCATAATATTATCCTAGACTGCTCCGTGTGTGCGATATACAGAAGATAGACATAAGAAGATGTTTATTATTTGTACAGAGCTATTTTGTCCATGATCTCTGTGTTTACTTCCTGAGGAAAAAGGCTGGACCATACAGTGTTTTAGAGATTAACACTGCAGCACAGACTTACAGAAAAACAGGCTTTTAAATCAAAGACGCTACCAGCTGATTTGAGGCACACTCCACTTCATGAATGACTTACAGGGAAT